CAGCTTCTAGTAAGTTCTGTTACCTCTATAATGGCTTAATTATTTACACTGAGCAGTTTTACTGGGCAATATGACGATATAAAACAATGATAAATGATCCACTGTTTGAGATCTAGCTATGTATTCTCCCCTTTAAAAAAAATAGCCATGGTTCTGCTGCTCTGACCAGTGTTTTAGCAGTTAACGTTAGCCTATATCAGTACCACTGTAGTGAACGAGACCCGGTTGAATAATTAATATTTGCAGCCTCTCAGACAAACCACAGAGCGATTTTATTTATTTAAAGAGATTTACATATTAGTCCGTTTTATTCTAAGAGTATGTAAAATGGTTTTCAAAAAAAAAATATATATTAATAGTAAGTAAACGGTCGGCTTTTTCTGTGGTGATTTGCGTGTGTTTACACTGGAGCTGCGTCCGAAATCGCATACTTCCATACTATATAGTAGGCGAAAAACAGTATGCGAGGCGAGTAGTATGTCCGAATTCATAGTATTCGAAAAACAGTACGCGAGAAGTACCCGGATGACCTACTACTTCCGCCCGAATTCCGCAGCATGCATACGATGGACACTTTACTATCCCATGAGGCCACGGGAGAGGAGGCGTCATATTCGAAAATGGCGGAAGGCGACGATGCGGCTCTCTTCAAGTGTAAGTACCTCAGGGAAAAACGTTGTTCATTGTGGTTAAATTGCACTTGTTTAACATGATCTAAGTGAACGGCTGACTTATTGAAAGTTTAAACATTGTAAATCGATGAGATGATTTCGTGAATCGGCTGTAAAAAGATGTTTAATCATTGTTATTACTGAGCACATCAAGTTAACGAACAGATCGAGCTAGTGTCAATGCTGTTGTACATCAGCTTGTTAACTGCTTTTTTAACGGAGACGTTCGTTGTTAAGCAGTTTAATGAGATTAGAAAATTCCACGGACTTTAAAACATTTTTTCCCCCTCTTTTACTAATATTTAGTTAGCTACATACTAAGCTACTGTTAATAAATATGTCACAGCTTGTCAATGTAGCATTAATGGATTGATAATGACTAATGGTGACTGCTTTGACATTACAGGGACTGATGAACACACTCAGCTCCTTATTCAGTGGAGAGTGGCTAATGAAGCCCTCTTCACTGGAAAGCGTAATGCTGCCATCAAAGGTTTTGAGTAAGTAAACAAGTTATGTAAAATGTACTTTTATTCAGGTGCTGTTGACTCTGAACGTAGTAAATACTAACACTTCAAGCTAAGGTCTTACTGCCTTCTTTTTATGCTTGATTTCTGTGCATTTATTGTGACAGAGCTTTTGTGACAGCAGGGACTTGAGGGCAAAATTTCTGCGCTCAAGTCAAAAGTGGGAGAACCTAAAACAAAAATATAAAGTAAGATTTTTTTTTTAATTAGTTAACCCCAAAATTTTTATTAGTTCATGATTTGATCATGCACACATTTATAAATTTAATATATATATATATTATTTCATTTCCATTTAGTTTGTTGAAGTATTAAAATAACTCAAATGAAATAAAACTAAAAACTTAATAAAAGACCTATACAAACATAATAAATTCAGACATAATTTAACTAAAATTTAAATAAGTAACAAATACAAATAGTACAAATCAAATGACAGTAGTTTATCAGTAATCCTAAAAAATCAGTGATCTGCGAGCAGCTGACCGACGCCTCCTCTGAGCTGCTGATCCAATCAACGTTAAAACGCCGATGAAAGCGGTAAGAATTACGTGAAACACTGCTGATGTTCGCGCAGTAGTGAGGGCTCTTTAAATTTGGGCGCTGTTGTGAAGACGCATGTCACGTGACAACATCAACATGGCGGATGTAGTACGTCCGTATTCCATTCATACTACTCTCATTCATACTATATAGAACGTACTTTGTTAACGGTCGAGTAGTACGTTCAGACTCAAATGTAGTACCTACTAAGCAGTATGCGATTTCGGACGCACCCTGTGTGCTCCTGAGCGTGACCTAAAACATGGCGGAATCCAACGCGGCGTGACGTAGATTCATTCTCTATTCGGGTTGAAGCTAAACTCTGCAGGGCTGTAGCCCTCCAGGAACTCAGTTTGACACCCCTCCCATAAAGGCTCTATTATTTTGAAGTGTAAATGTACTAGACTAGAAAAACAATTACTGTGTAGGTTTTTATCACTTACCATAATATCTAAATAACAGTTTCTGTTTGGAAGCCTTGACGTTCCTTGGGTGTTGTGGTGTGAGTAAAAGGAGCGTTCCCGAGTCCTAATATTAGCTATCAACAGACACGTCGGATTTTACTTTCATTTCACCATGTTTCGTCAGGTGGTAAAGACGGAAGTGATGCAACGAGGGGGCTTCTGGTCGCGTGACCTCATCTCTCGTGAAGTTTGTAGTTTTTTTCTAGAAGTGAATTGTCTGACCTTTGCAGAAAGTTTTACTGGCTCATTCCACGAATGTTGATGTCCTATGACTAATGCATAAGAGATAAATCCCATGTTATGTTGTGGAACCTATTAGATATGTTTGATAAACTATTATTTAACGTAAAATTAACCTAGAATGTAGCGTATAGCTATTTTAACACAACATTTATTTTAACATCAAATGCCTATTCCAAAGCTATGAAACGAAATGAAAAATAATCAAGATAATGTTTTAGCTTAGGCTATACATAAAACAATAGACACTATATTGTACCCTATTCATAGAAATTGACTATAACATTTCAGTTTCTGTAATGGTATTACAGCTGTACTCAAGCAGTAATGAATGCAGCGTTTTTACAAGTCAAAGTCAATTACAAAAAATAACTGCATGAACAAAAATACAAGACACAGAGTAACGTATCGGGTGTTGTTTTCAACCTTGTATTTTACCTGCAGGTGGCAGTATTGCTCAATGAATGCGACCGACTTTCATTGCGTTCTTAAAACCGAAAACTACATCTGCAGGTTTATAGCCTACCTTCAGTTAGATGTGAAAATGTCCTTACAGTGTCATTTAAATTACGTTGTAAGTGAGCATTTGGCTATATGGCAGTTCAGTATGAACTGATTTACAAATGCTAACTGCAATTTGTCTTTAAAGCCTTTTTTTTTTTTACAAAATCAATTTTCAAAGATGTAATGCTATTGTCAGATATATTATAGGGAATAAAACACAAGGAATGTGTAGAGTACTATTATTGAATTTTAGATCCTACATACTAGAGTTTGGAAACAACCTTAAAGGTTCTTAATAGGATCAAAGAAGAATCCTATTTAGGAAATGCATACAGTTATATATGAATTTCCTATGTACATTTATTTATTTAATATCTATCTATCTATCTGAATTTCATTTTATCAATTAAATCCTTCTTTTTAATTATTCAATTAGGTAGAAATACAGTAAATCTTTAAGGTAACAATTGCATGTTACCACATTTTACAGTGTATGATTCGTTTCAAATGGTTATTGATGTTAATGTTATATTCTCTTGTTTTCTGTTGAAAATAGGCTGCATTTTTCAGGGCGGACAATTCTGTGATCCGGACAGTTAATTATCCGATTCTCCGCCAGCTGGAAAGAAAGAATTCCACTTTTCATTCCACTGCATGTTACACACATTATGTCACTATAATTAATCACCATAGTAATAATAACAATAACAATGTGTACTTCAAAGCACCTCCGCAATGCAATTACACCTGAAGTATATGTATATGCATGTAAATAGACAGTAACATATACTGTAAAGTATGACCGACTTTCTATTTTACAATTGTGTGTTTATAAATAACTGCAGTGCATAGTTACATAGCGTCTGTTCATCACTGCCTCTAAATAAAACTTTATAGTGGATGATTCATTTGAATGAATCTTTTATGTAAACGAATCGTTCTCTTACTGGCTTCACGACGCATCCTGCAGAAAAGACCAAATATACAATCAGTGAAGATGAATATTTTTAGTGAACTAATTCGAAAGATTCAAGTCACTGGGAAGAATCAAAAACCCCACCGCTACGTTTAAATCACATGTCTCTGATCCGGACAGTTAATTATCCGATTCTCCGCCAGCTGGAAAGAAAGAATTCCACTTTTCATTCCACTGCATGTTACACACATTATGTCACTATAATTAATCACCATAGTAATAATAACAATAACAATGTGTACTTCAAAGCACCTCCGCAATGCAATTACACCTGAAGTATATGTATATGCATGTAAATAGACAGTAACATATACTGTAAAGTATGACCGACTTTCTATTTTACAATTGTGTGTTTATAAATAACTGCAGTGCATAGTTACATAGCGTCTGTTCATCACTGCCTCTAAATAAAACTTTATAGTGGATGATTCATTTGAATGAATCTTTTATGTAAACGAATCGTTCTCTTACTGGCTTCACGACGCATCCTGCAGAAAAGACCAAATATACAATCAGTGAAAATGAATATTTTTAGTGAACTAATTCGAAAGATTCAAGTCACTGGGAAGAATCAAAAACCCCACCGCTACATTTAAATCACATGTCTCTCACAGCCCCCTGTGATGATTGACAGTAGCTCTCACCAATCAAACGAGGTCAGTTCCAAAAGGGGCGGGATTCTTAGTTGTATCGTACTCCTCCATACAAACATACACGAGCGGCGCCTTGTTTTGGTCTGTTATGGCTTCGCAAAAAAAGAAAACTCGGCGACTTTTGGAGGAACTTATGCAGCGGTTCAAACGGACTTGGTACGTTTCCGTTGTAAATAACGGTCAGATGCATACTTTGCGCTCGTGCTTTGTTTAATTGCACTTTTGGGATTTTTTGCAGACAGCGCTTTGATCTCCGGGGTAAATGGGGTCGTGCGCTGCTGACTGCGCTTGTTTTGATAATGCGTTCGGATCTCCGGACTGAAAAGGACGCTGTTTTGTAATTTTTACAGTTTTGTATTTTTTACATAATAAACCTGGTGCTTTCCGGTACTTGCAATATTTTTGAGGATGTCCGATAGATTATTTAAACTTAGTTGTAACAATGTAATGCTGCTGAAAAAAAAATCCAAGTGCACTACTGTGTCGATGAACTGTTATAATTGAAGCTCTTGACGGAGCGCACAAAAGTGACTTGTTTAAGTGCTATTTTTTTTTTTTTTTTCATTTTTACTCAATGGAACCATTTTTATCTCCGCGCTCTTATTTGACGAAGAGTACATGCATAACGCTTTGACTTTCAATCCTGCAATTTTTCTATAGTTTATTTTTTTATACCATGGCAAGCCCGACCACGGAGCAAGGATGTTTTTCGGACGTGAAAAAGGTGGGTTATTTAAGGAAACCCAAAAGCATGCACAAAAGGTTTTTTGTACTGAGGGCGGCGAGCGCCTGCGGACCGTCCCGATTGGAGTACTACGAAAACGAGAAGAAGTGGAGACACAAGTCTGGAGCACCGAAAAGGTCCATTCCGCTGGAGAGCTGCTTTAACATCAACAAAAGAGCGGATTCTAAAAACAAACATCTAGTCGCGCTTTACACCAAGGATGAGTACTTTGCCATCGCTGCTGACAGCGAGGTAGAGCAGGAGTCATGGTATCAAGCCCTGGTTGATCTTCATAACAGAGGTAAGGTCCACGAAACTGCTGCGGGCCGCGGAGTTGGCGAGGATAATTACGGCGAAGCCACACCGGGACCTGCCTTCAAAGAGGTTTGGCAGGTTATTTTGAAACCAAAGGGTCTTGGTCACACAAAGAACTTGATTGGTGTTTACAGATTATGCCTCACCAATAAGACTATCAGTTTTGTGAAACTCAATTCTGATGCGGCCGCTGTGGTCCTGCAGTTAATGAACATTAGGAGATGTGGTCACTCTGAACATTTCTTTTTCATTGAAGTCGGGAGATCTGCCGTGACCGGGCCTGGGGAGTTTTGGATGCAAGTGGATGACTCCGTTGTGGCTCAGAACATGCATGAAACTATATTAGAAGCCATGAAAGCCATGAGTGAGGAGTTCAGGCCGCGCAGCAAAAGTCAGTCATCTTCCAACTGCTCAAACCCCATCTCAGTTCCTGTCAGGAGGCATCATCACAACAATCCACCCCCCAGTCAAGTTGGTTTAGGCAGGCGCTCTCGGGCAGAGAGTGTGACGGCCACTTCTCCTGTTAGACCTGGCAAACACAGCCATTCATTCAGAGTGAGAGCGTCCAGTGATGGGGAGGGCACCATGTCCAGACCGGCGTCTGTTGATGGCAGTCCGAGCACAGCCCGACCTCAGTCGCAGCGACACAGGGGTGGATCCAGACTTCACCCACCACTCAATCACAGCAGATCAATCCCCACACCCACCTCACGGTGCTCCCCCTCAGCCATCAGCCCCGTCAGCCTGTCTTCCAGCAGCACCAGTGGCCACGGATCCACGTCTGACTGCCTCTTTCCACGCCGCTCTAGCGCCTCCATATCTGGATCGCCCAGTGATGGCGGATTCATCTCCTCAGATGAATATGGATCTAGCCCCTGCAACTTTCGGAGCTCCTTCCGTAGCGTGACTCCAGATTCGCCACATGCCAGGGAGGAGGAGATAAACACCTACATCTGCATGGCCAAGCCTGGTTCACTTCCTGGCACTGGGAGCCAATCGCGAAGTCAATCCAGGGGAACGCCATCGAGACTGGAGGAGCCCGAGCTGGAGAAATGTTTCCGGAAGCGAATGCATTCTTCTGGTGCATCGCCGCCAACTCCGTGCCATCAAAAGACTCCCTCACAGTCATCTGCTACTTCGCTAGAGGAATATACTGTAATGATGCCCACATACCCACGAAGCCACTCTGCATCATCATCGTCGTCAACATACAGGCACTCCTTCATGCCTACACATTCATATCCAGAGGAAGGTATAGACGCTTCACAAGCAAAAGACCACAGTAGACCAGATCACAAAGATGACGGCTACATGCCCATGCTGCCTGGCGTTGCGCCTGCGACCCCAACAGTGAAAAGCGGTGACTACATGCCCATGACTCCAAAAAGTGCGTCTGCACCACAACAAATTATCAACCCCCGGCAACACTCACATGTTGACTCCAATGGTTACATGATGATGTCACCAAGTGGCAGCTGCTCTCCAGATGGCACAACAAACTATGGCAAGATCTGGACTAATGGCATCAACCCTAAGCTCTCCATAGAGAGTATGGAAGGTAAAGTGTCATCTTGTGGAGACTACATAAACATGTCCCCGGCTAGTTGTTCGATGACCAGTACGCCTCCAGACTGCTTTTTCAACCCTGTAGAAGATCCTCCCAGGCCAATGTATGCTTACTTCTCTCTGCCCCGTTCCTTCAAACATGCCAACAGGAAGCAGGACCAGAGCTCTCTTCGGATATCACTGGGCTCGAGTCGATTGGAATACGCAGACTCTTCATCGTCTTCAGCGAGCAGTGACAGCTTGGGTGGTCAAGGCAACTCGCAGCAGTCTGCTGTCAAGCCCAAAAGGTCAGAGGGCAGCGGGAGGCTGACACGTCCAACACGGCTGTCACTGGACACCAGCAAAGCAAGTACTCTTCCACGAACACGTGAGAGTCCCTTCCCCGCTGAGCCCAAAAGTCCTGGCGAGTATGTCAACATTGAATTCAACGACAAGACGTTTTCGGCGAGCTTAGCATCGCTGTTCCCGCCTGTGTTTTCTGGAAGTGATGCTGAGGCCCCATCAGACCTTTCATCATCTGAGTACATGAACATGCAGCTGGGGTCGCAGGCAGGGCGTTTGTGCCCAGAAATGCAGATTTCCACTTCCTGTTCAGACTATGCCATAATCACTCCATCAAACTCTGTATCCTCCCCTCCACTGCCCTGTGAGAGCATATGTGACCGTGACTACATCAGCATGCAGTTAGCATCCTGCACTAGCTTTCCTGATACTCAGATGATGCTGATGACCAAGGCCTTGCCAGATGCAGATGATGCCCCTCCTTGTTCTGTATCACCCAATCATGATGTGACGGCATTAAGCGGTGCCCCAGGGAGATCGGCTCTGATTGGCCCTTTGTCAGGTCTTAGTGCATTCACACGGGTAAACTCCACTTCTGGGCGAAACCAAGGGGCTAAAGTAATCCGGGCTGACCCACAGGGTCGACGGCGACACAGTTCAGAAACATTTGCTTCCACAACAACCAGAGGGTCAGTTGACACATCGGCCACCTGTCAGTCAGGTGAAGTAAAGCGCCACAGCTCCGCCTCTTTCGAGAATGTGTGGTTAAGACCTGGTGAGGCCTCTGCTACTTCTACCGCTCCTCCTGCATCTACAGTAACCAACGGACGAAGGGAAAACTCTTCAGGCACAATTCCCACATTAACAAACCATGACCAGAACGGCCTGAACTACATCGATCTGGATCTAGTGCAGAATGGAGAGCAGCATGCTCCAGACTGGAATGCGTTCCACTCTCAGCCAGTGGAGCTGGGAGCCGTGGAAGGTATAGAAGAGCTCAGTGCCTACGCCAGTATAAACTTCCAGAAATCAGATGAGACCAGAGGGAATCTCACAAGCAGAGAAGGTAAGACCAAGTGTTTGTTTAAGACTGGTTGAGTATTGGCATGTGTGAGCTATACATTTCTTATTGTCTTTGTGTTATCAAGCCTGTCTAGAACATTTAATAGGTAATATGCATATCATGTTATTATTTATAAAAACAGCCCCCATTTATCTGTGTAGTTTGAGTCTTTGGTGGAAAATCCCTTTCTGAAATCTTAGGAGAGAGGTGAGGGGGTTTAGATTCCCTCCCACTGATGACTGGGCCCTCTTTAGGCTGATAAATGGACATATTTGTGAATGGAGGCAGAAAGGGTTAGCATGTCTACACTTGTTCTCAATGCAACAAAAGGAAAAAGCAGCACATATATGTATTTGTGAGTCACTAAGCAGCTTATAGGATGTCTTTTTCCTAAATGGAAGTTTACTTAGTATGTGAGTCAACTTTTCAGAGATGTCTTTGATATTAATCAAGTGCTGTGAGAAGTCTACAGAGCTGCCACTACTGTGCATTCTCCACTTTGCCCAAGGGTTTGAGTGTCATGCCTGGCTGACTCTGTATTATTGTTGTTTTAGTTTATTTACTTGCCCTTCAGCAAGTGTAGGGTTTTCCACCCTCTTGGCCTTGCTTTACTTCTCTCTTTTTTTCCCAAATGTGAAATGTTTTTTTGTGTGTGTGTATTCTAATGATTGCATATCAGGATTTAGCAGAGCAGTGTGGGTTTCCCATGATGCGTTTAAAGTGATGACAATGCTACTACTATTGATAGTATTTTTCTGTTAACTTTTGTTTCAATTAATGGAACAAAACATCTGTTCAGGATAGATTCAGAGAATCATTTGTGTTCAATCTAGGAGTATTAATGATTTGGTGATCAGTTTAAGTGTTATTATTTTTGATGTAATCAGTTTCAGCACAAATGTGTGCAATGTGGCATAAACCTAGGTGGATACTAAAGTGCAAATTTATTTATAGACAACAATGCCATTTCTCATATGTATTAAGCATTTATAGCATATGGATAGATGCATAGACATTTTTCCTGTTGTTATGTGTGAACAGAATTGAAATAATTACTAAAAGCTTTTCTTATTTGCATGCAATGTCTTTGTTGTTTTAGCTCTTAATGATGTTATGTTTTCACTAAAAAGAATGAGGATATTGTTATGGATGGTTCACCCAAAAAGAAAATTGTGTAATTTGCTCACCCACATGTAGTTCCAAACCTGTATGATTTATTTTCTTATTCTGTAGAAGACAAAATAAAGGTATTTTGAAGAAAGTTTCAACTGTTTTTGTTCATACAGTGTTAATGGGGTCTAAAAACACGGAGACATTTTTAAGAATATCTTCTTTGTGTTGCGCGGAAGAAAGAAAGTCATACAGGTTTGGAACAACATGAGGACAAGTAAGTGATGACAGAATTACCATTTCTGTCAGATTGTTTTTGCGCAACTGTTTCGTGAATTTGCCCCAGTGTGTTCTAAGGAGGCATTTGTTTTGATGGGGTGAGAACCTGTACCCATATGCTTTCTTGGCTTGGATTGGTTGCTTCATGTGAGGGTGTTTTGAGCTTGGCTTGAGCTATTTAGGGGGGTGAGAGAGAGAGAGCACAGGGGCTTTAGTGTTGCGTAACCAATGGTTTTTGACTCTGGGAAGCCCTGTGTGTCTGTGTGCAGCTGTGCGCGCCTTAGTAAAACCCCCTGTGTTCCTCTGGAGACAAGAGCTGTGATGATGTGGACATCATCTGCAAAAAAAAGAAACACTTCCTCTTACTGTCTATGCTTATTGTCACCTATACTTTTGCATTTTGTGATGTAGTTCTTGGTGGAGGGGTTATTTTTGGTGCATTTATTGCATGTGTTGTTGTCAGTTTTGGCAGGATGTCTATCTAAAGCTCCAGTTCCTAATTTCATCTGCCTCCGTTGGCACATGTTCTGCCCATGGCATGCTCCTGTGTGGCTCCGTGCCAATGCCACCCATCGCTGTGGTAACGCTGTTGCCGCAGTGCTTTTTCCCCATGTCACAGTGGATTAAGGGGCCACAGACTGAGACGCCGGGCCCGGCCTTCAGAAAGCCGCATTATGATTGGGCAGTGTTGGGATGGGGCGGGGTGACAGAGTTCTTTGGTGGGTTTGGTCAGAGTGAGACGATTAGAAGCCCAGCCCACCTCAGGCCAACGTGATGGGGTCACCCTGCAGAGTGGCTTCTTGTCCCCTTCTCCCTCTCACTCCCTCTTTCTCCAATTCAACCACGTTTTCCTCTTTGTTGTCTTTCCCTCCCTTTCTTGCATCCTTTAGGAGATTTGAAGTGCCAAGTATTGTGCAGCAGCATGATCGGTTGGGGCGGAGCTTTGGGATCAGATCAGAGAGGAATCATGGGTATTCAGGGTAGTACGAAAGCATCAGTTCAGGATATGTTTTGAGTTGAATTTTGGCTATTGTTTAATTGTCATTGATTAATTTGAAGCCTATGAATGGTTGATTTATTCACTTGTACCCCAAATTCTGTAATCTATTTTAATGGTCATTTTATGTTAATGTTTTTAAATTTATGCAAATTAATATTTAAATTAATTGATTAATATTAATATAAGTTTCCTATGCTCACCAAGGCTGCATTTACTTGATCAATAGGAAAAATACAGTAAAACAAGTAATATTGTGAAATGTTTCTATTTTAATATATTTCAAACAATTTTGTAAGAATGTAAATGTCTTTACTGTCATTTTACTGTCAAAAATTTTAATGCATGTTTGCTGAATAAACGTAATAATTTCTTTCAAAAAAATCTTACTGATCCCAAACTTTTGAAAGGTAGTGTAAATGCATGTCTGAATATTTATTAACAGAGAAAATGCCAATATTTCCATTTCTGAACCTTTTGTGTCAAATTTTGTAACATGTATTTATAAAAAATATAATTTGCAATCTTCAGAAAATTATTAATAATAACAATAATAGTTTGAAATATTCTGAACATCATTCCAAGGAATGTAAATAAAACTATTTTAATAATTTCTGTTTTAAAATAATGATCTATTTTAACCTTCACCAGGCGAACATATTCATTCTGAATGTATAGAAAAGTAAAAGCACACCTTTCCTCAATAAATGACACATTTTGAGCTGTTATTCATGTTTGTAGTAATTATGCAGTTATGCAGCACTTTTAAATTATTTCTAATGCCTCAGTATGATCAATATTAATAGTGCATTTTCTGTATTTATGCTAAATTAATTGATCATGAATTTATATTACAACTGAATATATGAAAATCTCTAGTTTGATGCATGAGCAAAGATAGATCAGGCAGGAAGCATGTTCATAAAAATGGCTAAATTAGAGATCGCTGTTAAGGTCATCAGTAGTGGGATGAGGTTGGCAGGTCTGGTGCTCTGTTCTTTGATGAGATCCTTGGAATGCGTGTGAACGGGGAAATGAGAGGTGTGTGTGTGTGTGTGTGTGTGTGTGTGTGTGAGTAGCTCCAGGGTTGGAATGTAACAGCAGCTTTTGTGCCTGTTTTACAGAGCCGCTTGTTAAAGTAGACACAGGCAGAGATATGGAGGGATGGAGAGGAAGTAAAGCGAGAGGTAGGAAGGGGCACACAGCAGGAGCAGGAGGGAGAAATAAGGAGGGTTTAAGAGATTAACTGATGTGTATAAGGGGAACCAGAAATTCTCCAATCAGTGTTTCATGTAGAACGACCCTGGCATCTATATACAGCACATAGGATTTGTTTTGATTTGTGCTTTGAAGTGTTTTAAGGCAGCAAGTAAAATGTTTGCTTAATAGGGTTAACCTACCCCTTTCAGCCCTAAGAACATAGAGTAAATGCTCTCATGTGCATTCATACAAATTGTGTGTTATTAGTACTCAAGGTCAAATATTATCAGATGCTTAGAGCACAAATGCCAACAGAAAAGACAAATATTTAAGTAATGTGAAATGCATGGATTCCTCTGTTTTTTTTATCTGTAATATTTGAAGTATTCTATTCTAATTCTGTGTAGTTCTGTCTAGTTTCATACTGTTTGTCTTTAGACTTAATAGTTCTGTATTTGATATTGCATGTAACTATAATTGTTAAGAATTTGTATTGAATAATGTCTTTAAATGAAAAAGTTAGTTCACCTAAACAATCTAAATTCAAACATATATGACTTTGTTCCATGAAAGAAAGACAAAAGTAGAAATTAAGATACAAAGTATGCACAGTTATAAAAATCAGATGGTGCGCGAGTATGCACATACTATTCTGGTGAGGAAATTTGCATCACACTCAGTGTATGCAGACCTTTGCGTACATGTAAAAACAGAAGTATACTTTGGCCCAGGGACGCGGGAAGTAGGGGTGCTGAGGGGGCTGCAGCACCCCCTGTTTTCACATGGTTGCAAATGCAGCGCCAAGTTTGTTCATTTAAATGTATTCAGTTTTAGCATTTAATAATTTATTTGTAATGATCTCTGAAATGTAAATTGTAAGTGGGCTATAATAAACCCATGTTTATCTTTATAAACATGATTAATTTTACTTGTGATGTTTTCTATATGGAATGATTAGCCTAATCCTCATGAACACGTGATGCTGGCGCGTGGTATCAGACATAAACTATACAGAATGAGAACAAGGTTAACTTTAATACAAGGAGATAATGGCGCAAAAGCAAATTTCAGATTTTTTTTAAATGCCCTTCCCAGCAAAAACTTTACAAAATCGGCATCCACACCAGCACGAGCACCGACGTAACAAGTAAGCCTAGCGGACCCAGCCCAACCCCCGAGATTGATCAGCTACTATCGATAATTTCAAAAATGTGATATGCAGTCAAATTTCCCAGTGTGTATGCCACTTAAACGAGTGTTCATATCGATGCGGTTGTAGTGCTTTGTGGAGTTGTCGAATGAGGTGACTCTCCCCCACCCCCCACCACTTTCACCCAGCACCCCAACTGAAAACATCTTCCCGCGCCTCTGCTTTGGCATTAATCTGCCATGGGATCCCTCAAGATTTTCCTGTGGG